GACACACTGACTCCATGATGATAATAGAACTGAGGAGCAGAAGGTTTCGGTCTCCAGAGTATCTCAGAATGACACCAAGCTTCAGCTCATCCTGGTTCTAAGTAACAGCCATGTAATTACCCCAAACCTGAGTAGAATGAATGAGCCTTCTCTGTTTCCTCAGCTGTTTGAAGTGGTCAGGGCTTAGATCTTTTTAAAGGCAGTTTTAAAAGGCTATGAGCGATGAAGCAAGAGAAAGGAATTAGTATTCAGTGAGCTAGGATACTTAAACATTAATAGGCACAGCAGTGGACGTGGCAATGAATGAAATCGAGATAAGTTAGTTAACCAGACTCCAGTGGTATTTATTACCATCAGAGTTCATTGTTGAATAAGTCATAGTGTTTGTAATCTTCAAAGGTTTGTTCAAACTGTCATGAAGGTATGCATCATCGCATTTTTTGACAGCATCGACACAGACCTTAAGGAAAATTAACCATGGTTTTGCCATAGTAATAAATAATCTCTCTCTTTATAGAGAGGACAATCAGAAACCTACTTGCACCATACACAAATAGCCTTGTTGCTTGGAATAAACACATGGTAAAAAAAAAAAAAATCAAGGAAGACAGAGGGTTAGAATGATGGAAGGTGCCAAAATCTAGATATACAGGAAAAAAGCTATATGAAACAAAAACTTTCATATCTAGCAACAACAAAAAGATATACTCGTATTACAGGCAATTAAATGCTTCTGAAATGTTAGCTTTTGTCACACCTGACAGCTCCCTGCAGTATACAGCAATGCCTTTTGGCTTGAAGAATGCCCCATCTACATTTTTTGATGGTTCATAAGCCTAGTCTTGGCTGCTGTATTTAATAGCGCTGCTTTCCGGAATGACGTTGACTTTTTTCTGTGGACTGGCCCAGTCATGTAGAACTGTTATGCACAGTTTATGAGCTGTTGAGAAAAGCTTTCTTGACCCTTGGATTTAGCAAAGTGTTGGATTTAGAGTTTGAAATCTACAAAAATTTATCTTAGTACACAATATGGGCAAAAGTTTGTGGACACTTGACCATCACACCCATCTGTGCTTTTTGAACATCCTTTTCCACATTTATTCCCGTGTATATAATAACGTTGCTATTATAATAATCTCTACTGTTTTGGGAAGGCTTTCCACTAGATTTTAGAAGGGCTTGGGACGCATTCGGCATTCCAGTACTTCCCAAAGGTGTTCAGTGGGGTTGCGGTCAGGGCTCTGTGTAGGATACTTAAGTTGTTCCACACCAACCTTGGCAAACCATGTCTTTATAGAGAGGACCCTGTGTTGTGCACATGCTGGAACAGGTTTGGGCCTCTTAGTTCCAGTGAAGGAAAACTAATGCTATAGAATACAAAGACATTCTATACAATTGTCTGATTACAATTTTGTGGCAAATGTTTGGGGAAGGTCTACATGTGGGTGTGATGGTAAGGTGTCCACAAACCTTTGGCCATTTAAGTAAGTAATAAGTAAGTAGGATGAGGACATGTTTGTTCTGTGGAAGAAAACGTCATGGCCATCAATCATTTTCCAATCCCTTTCACTTGGGTGTGAGTTACAATAATTCCATGGTATGTCAGATTACTACTGGAGTTTTTGTAAAATAAAATAAAAATTCTGCAGTTATGGCTCTCCTTAAATCCCTATTAAGCCCGTCTGTGTGTATTGCCTTGTCAACATGCATTTGACAGTGTCAAAGCTTTGCTTTGTAGCACTCCTCCACTTGCACCTTCTGACTTTTCAAAACCTTTTAAGTTGGAGCTAGATACTACTATTTCTTCATTTATCCAGTGATGTAAGAAGCAACAGCATGACACATGCTAATGTATTAGTTTGTGTACTTTGGGCAATGAACAGTTGGGCATCATATTACATCCATATAGCTATGACATAGAGGTCACATGATGTATTAAATCAATACTTGACCAAAGTGACATTCACAAAGCAAAAATACAACTTCTATTGTGTTGTGTATGCCATGAAATAACATGGTGAAGATAGTAGATGCGGATGATTAGGATCCTGAGTTGCTAAATTATTAAATTAAAAGGAGGTGCAGTGCAGATGCTAGCTGCTGTGTGTGCAAGTTATTTTAGTCTGCGGTTTGGAGTGCAGGGTTTTTTTTTCACCCTATTAATATTAATGGTGTTTTTTTTTTTCTTTTAGCTTTATTTTATGGCAGCCCCACTCGCCTTACATTCCCACCAACCACACACACACACACACACACACACACACACACACCCCACTTGAACTAGCACTTATGCACTCATGTGAAAATAAAGAAATAGCAAAAAATCACTTCTGGAAAAAAAAAAACATAAAAAAGTAAAAACAGGATTACACGAAATCTCAATTACCCCACTTTAGCACCCACACAACGATGACACACAACAGCACAGCCTTTTCAACCACCTGCCCCTCTGAAGCAGCCAGCAACCCATAAGTAGACTTGGAAGTCATATAAGAACACTTTCCCAAATCTAAGAGCCTCCCAACTGCATTGCTCCATCCCAAAGAGAGCCAAGAGCGAGAATATGACTGTCACTGTGAGTTACGGCTCATTTCCTAATGGGCTGGTCCTGACTCTGTAAGCTGCCGGGAGGATAAATCAGGGAGGGCTTCTGATGCAGTGTGGCCTTGTTTCTCTGGGCTTTATGACCCTGAATGAGTGCCAGTTTTGTACATTGTCACAGAGGAAGAAAAGAACGAGCTGTATGCAGAGTAGTCTTTGTAGAACAAATGAATAGCTGAGGTTATGTCTATAATATTGCATTTGACTAGCTTTTCGTGCTATGTGCACTTGACCACAACCTCATGCATAAAAAAAAAATCCCCAAACCATCTTTTACTTCCTGTTTTCCTGCGTTCTCGTTCTCTCCCTAAAGAGATTTCTCAGCAGGTCATCACTCTGTGATGTCTTGAAGCCACTGCGAAACCATATGGAACTCACCTCATGCTGTCTATGGAACTCATGTCGTGCATCTCCTGCACACTGAAAGCAGTGTGATGGCTCCATACAGATTATTTTACCAACAGTTTTATCATTCATATTTGGTAATCCCGAAATGCATTCTGTCTGTGCTAAAGCTTTACAAGTGGAGTTTTTAGGTGTGTGTACGTGTGTAATTAGAGTGTGGCAGCCGGTGGAACAGCAGGCGACCTGCACATGAAAAGCTGTGGCACACCTTTCTCAATCAGGTCAGTCCCTAAACAAGCCCTACTGCAACACTGGGATGTCAGTGTAAGCTCTGCTTGCAGATCCATGTAATGCATGAGCACACATTCCATCTGGCAGTAAGACATTTGTCTGATGCTTCCTTAACTTGGTGGCTCTTAGAAATATTGCAGGAGAATGTATTACCTACACCTACTTCAGCTCTATTTTTATCTTTGTATGATGTACAATAAAATAATGCTAAATTAAAATATTTAATATTTTTGATCTAATTTTGAGCCTTTACGTACTATGAGAGTATACTTCACTTTGCTGCCAGCTTAATAGGTAAACTGACCTGTCACAGTCTCTCCATTTGTGTTGCCATTTCTGTTTTGGTTTTCTGTTCTGTCCTTGTCACAATCCTGTCATTGGTCTGTTACCCAACTGTTGTCACCTGTTCTGTGTTTGGTTCTGGATTAGTTTGCCTTCTTTTATCTTCTGTATGTCAATGACCGTGTATACATGCACATCCGTTGGCAGTATTCTAATAGTATTGAGTCTTGTAAGCGCCACAGTCCGATTGCCCGATTCTGATTAAGACAATTTTCTGATTCCCCCCCCTGGAATATGCCTGTTTTAATTGCAAATTTGTTGCACCTTATTCAGAAAACCCACTGAAAGGAGATATATGCGCATGCTCAGTCCACAAGGAATTGTGGGTGCTAACAGATGCTTAACCGTAGGCTAGATATTTAGGAATAGTAACTCAGGCATACTTACAACAACCATGTGTACAGAAATATTGCAGCAACCCGAATATAGACCTTAAATTGAATATGATGTGCATGTAAACGTAATCAGTGTTTGTTGTGAAGTGTTGCTGATAGTACTGTACAAATTGCCTTGTTTTCCAATTTTTATCTCATTGTACATCCTGGTTTTGACCTATTTTCTGTTTTGACATTGATTATTGATTATCCATAGTTAACTCTGCTCAACTGTATTTTGACCCTTGCTACGGACTCATGGACTATGGATTGTGATTCATGGATTTGTCCTGATAAAGAGTATACTGCTTATATACAGGTGTCCTGCCTCTCACAGCACATTATCAGCCTCCTCCACCCCATCCATCAATGGAAAGAGACAACCACAGGACCACCACTGATCAGATATTGAAAATACTGCTCAGAATTGTGTTATCGTGGCAAAAAAAATTTCTTCTATTTGGCAACCAAAGAACCTGGTAAGAAAAATATCTTCTAAGAGCTATGTGGATTGTATTTTACAATTGCAGCACAATGCCAAATGGTTTTGTAGTACCCAGAAAAAACACCTTGCTTTCTAGGCACTAATTGCCTTTTCTATTACTTATGCAGTTAGGTTTAAAACCGTCCTTTCATTACTGATTACCTTTTGTATTATGCACTTAAGTTTGATATTGTCTTTTGATAACAGCTAGACCACTCTAACACTTGCACAAATAATCATTTGTCTTTTGTTCTTCAAGTTTGCTTTGTCTTTGCAGGTTTGCTAGATGATTTGTATCACTACGCCTTCAACTGCTTGTAAGTTGCTCTGGATAAAAGTAACTGCTAAAGTACTCAATTTTACAATGGCAGCAATTAGGTACTCATTGTTTGGATTTCCTTCCTTTCTTCAAGCTCCCCATTCATCTAGAGACTTACTGTAATATACATTACAGTGAACATTTTTTCTTCACATTTTTCGACTTGTTAGGTAGTTGGGGTCAGCCATAATACAGCACCCCTGGAGCAGATGAAGTCAAGGCAGACTCGACAGCAGTAGCTCATTGGTGTTGGGACTTGAACCCACAACCTTCTGATCAATAACTCAGCACCTTAACCACTGAGCCACAGTTCGATCCTTAACTCCAATACAAAATGACAGCAGAGCAAATTCCCCATGGGTCTGTGCTATTTATTAGAAAGGGAAAGAATGACTGGTAATCCGTAAAGCCCATGAAACAGATTTTGAAATCAGACTATCTCTGCCCATCTGTGTGCCATGATGTGGTGGGATCCTGAAAGGTCATGATACACACAGGATGGACCTGACTCTGGTGATAAGGTGCTGTGTGAACAGGGAAATGAATTAAAAAGTGATTCATTGACCGTAAATAAGCTCAATCACCAGTGTCTCTGGCAAACATATGCACATGCACACAAATTAGTATCTTCAGTGCATCTCATTGTTGCCCAAGCTTTGTAAAGTATTCATTTACAGCTATGCATAGCCAAATGTTTCTGGACAATGTTTAATATCTACCACTGATGTTGAGATATAATATGTAATTATGCACCAGTTAGCCTTGTGCCCTGAGTTCCCTGGGATACGCTCGAGGCTCCACTGAAACCCTGTGTAGGATAAGCAGCATGGAAAATGGATGTTGATACCTTTTTGAAATACATGATGGGGCTTAAAATGATCAGAAGTATAAGAATAGATATAGAAGCTGTTATTGTTAAACTATATCTCTGTTTATTGTTTCCCCCTTGGAGATTATTCTAGTCGCTTTACTGTCTCTAGCTCCGCCCCATTCCTCGCGCGCGCGCACACACACACGCACGCACACACAGACAGAGCCGCACGCGCTCACTCTAACGGTTTATTCAATTAGCTTTTGTCCAACGGACATTTTCACACACAGCTCTCAGGACTGATTTGATTCCGTTTCCCGTTTGTACAGTCCATATATATACATATATATTAAAGAGTGAGAGGAATGCTGCTGATGCTGAACACAGTCGGGATACAAAGAATTAATCTTCAGAGAAACTACAGAGAACCGGCGGAGAAACCAAAGAGTACCTGTGAGCTTCGGGACGCAGAGAATTAACACACACACACACACACACACACACACACACACACACACACACACACACACACACACACACACACACACACACACACACACACACACACACTCTTTTATGGCCAAGTTTTTGGCAGAATTGCTGGCGTGTACTCTGCCAGAGAAAGGCACCTCTCCTGTGTTTGAGGTAAGAACAGATAATTTTAGGCTCTAATTAACTGAGGCAATGTTAGCTAACTAAGTTAGCGTGTCGCGCGCAGCCCTGGGATATTGAGAACGGTTAAGTGGATTTGAATCTCTCAGGACAAACGTTATAAGCGTGTGATAATGAAATATCCACAGTAAGTATTCAGCACTGCATTAAGAAGCTGGTCAGTATTTGGGCCGGTGTGTCACTCCAACTGTGCTGAACGTTACTCAGCTCTCTTCCCTAAGAACCGAGATTTTTATTTTTGATAGGATCATTTGCAGAGAAACTATCATTCATTCATTCATTCATTCATTCATTCATTCATTCATTCATTCATTCATTCACTAAATAATTCATCCATTCACTCAGTAATTAATTAATCCATTTGTCCATTCATTCATCCATTCACTCATTCGTCCACTCAATCATTCATCCATTCACTCTCTAATTAATTCATCCATTCGCCTATTCAATCATTCATCCACTCACTCATTCATCCACTCACTCATTCATCCACTCACTCATTCAGTTATTCATCCATTCACTCACTAATTAATTCATCAATTCGTCAATTCACTCATTCATTCACCCATTCACTCAATAATCCATTCATTCATTCATTCATCCATTCACCCACTAATTTGGCCATTCACTCATTCATCCATTCATTCATCCATTCATTCACTCATTCATCCATTCACTCAATCATTCATTCACTGAATCATTCACTCATTCATGCATTCATCCATTCATGAAACTGGGGGGAAAAAAACTTTTTTCCCCCCAGTTTCACAAATGACTTGTTCAATGATCTGTTCTAAAGAATTCATTCTAAACTCCTCCTTTCAGAGAGCATACTCATCTCTGATTGGTCCCAGTCTGTTGTGACTGGTCTACCGCTGTCAGCGTGTTTCAAAAAGTAAACGCCCGCTACCGTAACGAGTTTCAGCTCCGTCTGTTCGCGAGCAGCCGATGAATACCAGAGGCGGGGCTTTTTATTACAAACCTACGTAGGTTAGTACAGGAAGTAAAGTCTGGAATCACTAGCCACTCGATTCGGTTACTTCATTTGGAAGTCAATAACTCTGTTTTGAAACTTTGCAAACTTTTTACATTCACAAACAGCTCTATAACATGCTACATGAAAGGTAATATTTGAAAAACCATAACAGGTGCACTTTAAGATCTTGGACTACTGCTCAGAATGTTGTGAGGTCAAATCCCAGCATTGCCAAGCTGTGACTGTTGGGCCCTTATGCAATGCCCTTAATCCTCAACTGCTTAGTTGTATAAATTAGATAAATGTTGCTTCTGTCAAATGCCATTAATGCAGATTAAAAATGAGCATACCACTGCTTTGACAAGTTCAGCCTAGATTGGCATTTTCTTCAGAAGTTTAAAATGTAGGCCTACATCACAACTAAATTTTTTTCCTTCATTTCATAACATGTTTATGTGTGCCACCATGTGAGGAACATTCTTCATCCCATCTCAGCTGTGGGTTTGAGTGTTATCCTGTACTCACCTCTGGTTTGTGTGTCCATGTTCAGTTCTGACCCTGGTCTACTCTGTTTCCCCTCTAATCCCCTGGATGAGACCTTCCATCAACCAAATCACAGAGCTGTATGTGATGCTGATGGTCCTAATCCATCTCTAACCATGGCTAAAGTGAGCAAATAAATAATTTCTGCACATTTCTGCTGAGAGATTGGGATGTTATATAAGAGAAAATTCCTGTTGATCCCTGTGTTTCTGCCATGCCTGTCTTTCATTATGTACCGTTCAGTATATCTCTGTTGCTTTCTTCTTTGGTATAAAGCTTTATATTTTTGCACAGAATTTACTGAACATGTCAGTACTTCTACAGCAGTGATCACCTTGACAGTTACTTACAGTCACACATAGCTGATTGGGATTCAGCATATATTTTTATCTTTGAAATGTTTCACAATTATTTTTTTTTAATAATTAGATGGAAACATGCCCTCCCCTCTCGCTTTCGGCCTGCTTTTCTCTCTCTGACAGTTAATTCTAATCTGATAAATGAAACTAATCACGTTACACAGGGTGTTATTAACCTTTACTGTTGACAGGTTTTCAGTGGTTCTTGCCATGTTTCATGCCCCATTACTCTTTTAAATACTTCACCAAACTCAAACTTAGGTACCAAAAAGGTTCATTTTTGTTTAATCTGTTGATCATAATGAAGCCCTTGTAAAACCTCCTGACCTAATAATGCTGCATGCCCCTGCATGTTTCATCACGTCAGCAGTGGATTGGACACCGCTGATAGATGGACGCAGGGCAGAACAGCAGGACCATGTAGAGTTTGGATATGGCTTTGGCTCTGGTTCTGTCCTCATTAACACCCTGCAGTCTTTCGTTTGGCACCCACCGGGGGTCTGTTCTGCATCATCGACACACACACGCCCATACACATAAAGAGGAATATTTCTAGTCCTCTTTATAATTCTGTCCCTTAGTCCTGTAATTTATCATTATTGATGTTTAGCACCATTTCTACATGTTTTACACTCATGCATGCACATATTACACATAATCACATTTGTTCCGTTATTGGTGTGTGGGTAGAGATGGCACAATATTACTTTTAAGACTGATACTAAAATGTTGAGTATCAGCTGATATTAACAACTATCCAATATATTTTTCTTTAAAAACTACTAAGCCTTAAATGTTATATATATATACATAACTTTTTCAAATCAAATTCCTCTCTTTTCATTTTTTACAAAATCAGATCAGGGCCAAGTCTAATTGTGGATGAAAGTAACAAAAGTTAAAAAAATAAATAAAATTAAAAAATACATTAATTTATGGTGGGTTGTGTTGGTAAAAATACAAAGGTGAAGTAAAAATTGTGTTCATCCCCCAAAAAACTGCAATTACCCCCATGTTCTGTTGCTCATAATCTATCATTAATACCATGCAAAGTAGACAGACATAAGGGAACAAAAAATATTGAATAAAAAAATAAATAATGATTACTTTACTTTAGAGGTCCCTGTGATTTATAATCTGCAATTTTTCCGGGAGCATCGTTTGTCACCTCTTAATGTCGGTGTTCTTTGAAACATTGTTTTACGAGAAAGTTTCCTGGGGCTAAAATCTCAAGAAGCTGATCTGAAACTTTGTTTTAGCTCATTGTCAGATTCCGTATAATTTCTTATATGTAGCAATGGTATATCTAACATCATTTTTATGCCTTTCAAGAAATCCTTCAAGCTTTGTTTATAATTCTGTTTTTTGTTATATATCTCTGACTAGTTTAAATTGCAACTCTTGTGCCGTAGAACTACAGGACTATTCAGTTCTTACATGAAAAATACCACTGTCATACAGCCATTTGCTCCTTGAACCTTCTCGCTAAGTTCAAACTGGATTTTCACTGGTTCTGAATGGCAAGGAACCCTGGAGGTTTTTCAGGATTCAGAGGACCACAGGTCCGTATGTAACTGGTAACTACTATATGCTACCTTGCAGTTCTTCCGCTATTTTGTGATGACGTGATCGCTAGCAAAAAGTTTGTAGGAGCAGTAACAATAGTATCGAAGCCCTTGTGGAGTTTCCTTTGACTTTGCCTGCTTTCTGATTATCATAATCTTTTTGTAGTCACGAACCATGAATTTTCACACTGAACAGAAGCCTCCAGAGTATAAAAGCAGCTTGCTGAACAGAGACTGCAGAACAGAGCACTGCTGGCACATGACTGGTTGTACATGACCTTTAATATATTGAGTGCAAGACTTTTAAGGTTAGGTTCAACCAAAATATTACAGTCTGTAACGGAATTTTGGGTGATTACATTAATACATGATCAGATAAGTCACCAT